ACTGATTGACTACTGTACTGAAAGTGAAACGCACATAGTTGTAGAATAGCAGCTAATTGCCCTTGAGAGGAGCTCCGGCTTGCTCCTTCTGCCCAGCGTGGTGAGAAAGTACTGCTGCATATTGCTAACCCAGAGAAAGAGCAAACTTCAAAATCAAAAGCGGTTTGTACTGAATGGGTATCACTTTTGCATGATCTGTTCAAGTGTTGGATTGGTGAAATCTAAAACAAGAACCAGACCACTCCGATAAAGCACTGTGCAGGTGTTTATTATAAACTCTGTCACTCCGCTGAAACTCTTACCACAAAGCAAGCTGGGACTTTTAAAAGAACATTCCAAGGGACTGGGCCGGCAGGTGGTGTGGTGGTTAAGGGTGCTGGACTCTCACATGGCCGACCGTGGTTCAAGTCCTAGATCTGGAGCTTGCTTTCTCCCTTCCCTCTCTCACACACTCTCTCACTCTGTCCCTCTTTGGTCAAATTAAAATAAAGTTGAATAAAACAATTCTTTTTGTTTATTTGTTTTTGAGAGGTTTTTGCTATAGGGCGCATGCACTTGCCAGAAAGAACAGGTAGGCAGTGAGAAATCCCCCCCCAGGGGGGATTGCCACGCCACAATCCCTTCTCCTCCATTCTCCTTTGGGGATCTTGGGCATGCATGCACACGCACCTGGCATGAGTTTAAGCCACCAGGTCCAGGACTCGAACCGCAGTCAACTTCATGGGAGTACAGCGACATAGCCATTACGTCAACTACTGGTCCCAGTAAAATAATTCTTAAAAAAAAAAAACATTCCAAGGGGAGCTACACCTGGGGCAGAATCAGTTTATCTTACCAATAATCAACTGGGTTGGGAACAGAAAACAACTTGTTATATGGCACAGATGAGAGAAATGGAGGCCAAACAAGGCATCATCTGCCTTTAGACAGATGGTATCTTGACAGGGACCAGCAGATATTGTAATGGTTACATCACTGGACTCCCACATAATCCAGCTGCTTAAAATTCATGCCACATGGGACCAGCGGTTGGCGTAATGGCTTTGTCGCTGGACTCCCACGTAGTCGACCACGGTTCAAGTCCTGGACCCAGTGGCTTAAACTCACACTGGGTGTGTGTGCGTGGTGCCCAAGATCCTGAGAGGAGAATGGAGGAGAAGGGATTGTGGCATGGCCATCCCCCCTGGGGGGTGATTTCTCGCTTTCTATCTCTTGGTCTCTCTCTGTCTTTCTGGCGAGTGCATGCGCCCTATAGCAAAAACCTCTCCAAAAAAAAAAAAAAAAAAAAAATTTACGCTGGGCACGTGTGCATACATGCCCAAGGTCCCAAGAGGAGAACGGAGAAGGGATCGTGGCATAGCCATCCCCCTGGGGGATGATTTCTTATTTTCTGTCTCTCTGGTGAGTGGACGCACATTATAGCAAAAATCTGTTTAAAAAAAAAAAGAAGAAGGAAATAGGGCTAGATAGACGCAATCCTACACCTATTCTAGAGGCTGGGAGATCAAGGGCGAGGCTGGCCTGCGGTGAGGGCCTTCTCACTGCATCGTGACGTAATGGAGGACATCGCATCGCAACCCAGAGGAGACAGGCCACAGAGAACTCACTTCTGTGTATTTTTTGAATTGCCAGAAGGTATGTGTATCTTCTAGAGGCAGAGAGAGGAAAAGCGTCCCCCTGTGGACATGGTCATTTTGTAATCCCTTCTCCATTTCTCCATCCTGTCAAGATTTTGGGTACACACATGCACATGTCCAGTGTTTGTGCGTGTGTATGTTTTAATTTAGGTTTTGCTATAGGTTACATGCACTTGCTGGAGAGAGAAAGAAAGGGAAAAATCAACCCTCAGAGGAGATGGCCATGCTACAATCCCTTCTCCTCCATTCTCCTCTTGGGATCTTGGGCACGCACGCACACACACATGCCTGGCATGTTTTTCCAGCCACCAGGTCCAGGACTTGAATTGCAAAGTTGGCCACATAGTATCCAGCCACCTTCACCACCACCACCTGGCTGGCCCCCCAATGTACTTTTCAAGTCTGTGGGGCCTGGATTTGAACTGCAGTCAGCTTGTAGGATCTGGCTCCCTTAACCACTAGATTATGGGGTCAGTCCAAGAGATCCCTTTTATAACGAAGCCACTCCTGTGATAACAAACTTTCACTCCCGTGAAACATTAAAACAACATTAATCCACTCATGAGGGCAGAGGTATTAAGATTCTAACATATGAACTTTTTTTTTGTTGGAGAAGTTTTTGCTTTAGGGCATATACGCTCGCCAAAAAGACAGAGAGAGCCAGAGAGACATGAAAGCAAGAAATCATCCCCGGGGGGATGGCCATACTGCAAGTCCTTCTCCTCCCTTCTCCTCTCAGGATCTTGGGCACGCACGCACACGCGCCCAGTGTGAGTTTAAGCCACTGGGTCCAGGACTGGAACCGCAGTTGACTACATGGGAATACAGTGACATAGCCATTTTGTCAACTGCTGGTCCCCTAACATATGAACTCTTAGAGGACACATTCAAATATAGTAGGCCCTCCCAAGGTCTCAAAGGAAAATCCGAGGTATTTACCAAGTTCCTCTAACCTTGGACTCAATTTCCAAACTCTGCCCCTTGTAATGGAAGGTCATGAAATCTGTCCAACCCTTCCTACTTTCCGGCCGTTCTCTTTCCAGGCTCCTTGAAGTCTCACTGTAAGCATGCGCAGTTCAGGGGTCAGTCAAGGATTTACAGACTCTCCCCTTCTTTGGCTCTCTGTTCTCTGGGACATCTTCATTCTCTATTTCCAGTGCTCAGGCAGCTTCAAACTCCTTCAACTCCTTAGGTCAACAGACTGAGGCTCTGAGTTTTATCTACCCCATGCCACACAGACTGGACCTCGCCCAGAAAGAGGAATACAGAGGGGGAGTGCCCAGAAGAGGTGACACCTGCACTACAACTCAAGGAGGATGTAACCACATGGAAAGGGTAAGAGGTGTTCCAGGAAAGAGGGACAGCATGTGCAAGGGCCCAGAGGCAGCCAGTGCCAGCACTTCCAATTAATCATGGCAGCTACTATCGAATACATCTGGAGAGGAAGAACAAATGATACAATAGACAATACGGACGTGGGGAGGGGACCAGCAGATGGCATGGTGGTTACATTGTTGGACTCCTACATAGCTGACTGCAGTTCGAGTCCTGGACCCGGTGTCTTAAAACTCGGGCCTGGTGCATGTGTGTGCATGCTCAAAATCCTGAGAGGAGAATGGAGAAGGGATTGTGGCATGGCCATTTTCCTTAGGGGCGATTTCTCACTTTCTGTCTCTGGTAAGTGCATGTGCCCTATAGAAAAAAAAAAATATATATATATATATATGGGTGGTTGGTTAACGCAATGAACTCCCACATGGCTGACCACGGTTCACGTTCTAGACCTGGTAGCTTGAAAATCATGCTGGGTGGCGCATGTATGAACATGTCCAAAATCCCAGAAGAATGGAGGAGAAGGACTATGGTGTGGCATCTCCTGGGGGTGCGGGGGGGGGCATGATTTCTCACTTTCCCTTTCACCCTCTCTCACTCTCTGGAGAGTTCACAAGCCCTGTGGCAAAAACCTTAAAAAAAAAAAAAAAATGAGTTTAGGTGCCAGACAGCTTGGGCTCAAATCCCGGCTCACTTAGCTTCTGTGTGACCTTGGACCTGTGCCGTGTCTTCCTCACCTGTGTTGGGGTAATAGTACTATTTACCTTCTAGAACTGCAGCAAGGATCGAGTGGGCTAGTACACAGTACGCATTTAGCTCAGTACCTGCATTCTTCCTATGCCCAGTACATAGCTCCAATCTGCCTTATTCCCTGTCACCCCGACCCACTGACATTCAGGCAAACCTTGCTTTGCAGAATCCTAATATGCTCACAGCAGGCATCTCCTTCCTATCTTCTCCCCACCTTTTCTTTTCTTTTCTTTTCTTTTTTTTTAAGAGGTTTTTGTTATAGGGTGCGTGCACTCGCCAGACAGACAGAGACACAGAGAGATAGAAAGCAAGAAATCATCCCCCAAGGGGGATGGCCATGCCACAATCCCTTCTCCTCCATTCTCCTCTTGGGATCTTGGGCACGTACACACATGCACCCGGCATGAGTTTAAGCCACTGGGTCCAGGACGCCAACTGCGGTTGACTACGTGGGAATCCAGCGACATAGCCATTACACTAACTGCTGGTCCCTCTCCCCACCTTTTCTTCATGTCTTGAGCTAGGGCTGAAATGGGCTGATAGTGGGGTGGGCACAGTCACCTCTGAGTGGCTCAGTCCCATCTTTGCCTGGATGGCCTCTGCCAGAATCCTGGGACAGCCCAGCAGTAGGGACAATACAGGGACCAATAGAGCTGCACACTCTTCACCTTGCTCCTCTCAAAGGCGACCGCTCCCCAGTGACTCACTTCCCTCAAACATCGGCCATTGCTCAGTCCACTCACCTCAGGAATTTCTCTAAGTAGCCTGGAGTAAAGGCCAGGAATTTAGGTATTTACCTGTCTCTGTGAAGTTGCTGAAAATAAAAAATCTTAGAGCTGGCTCTGTGGCCCAGTGATTCAACAAGCCAGATTCCACGCGGCTGACCTTGCAGTTTGAATCCTGGACCCAGCAGCTTGGAAAACACGCGGGCACATGTATACATGACCCCAAATCCCAACAGGATGGAGAAATGGAGAAGGGACCGCGCATGACCAGGCTCTATTGGGAGGGTGCCTTCTCCTCCTCCCCCCGCCCGCCCAGGGCGCATATGTGGTCCCTAGCAAGCATTTTGAAAATCCTAAAATGTAGTGTGAGTAGGTAGCCTCTACTCACACAGCACCCAACAGGTGGGTAGCTGGGTTCCTACCAACACCCTCATCTTGTCACCTGGCAGGTGACAAACGGCAGGAGTGTTTCTCCTTGTTAGCTGGTCTAACTCCTGCACACACTGAAAACACTGCTCAGTCCTTGTGTCCACTCCAACACGAATTTTCAGAACTGTCACAGTAGTGAGGACATTTATTATTAAAATGAGTGAATGCAAAATAGATGTACTCGACTTCTGAGTACATGGCTCGCGCTATTCCAGTGCAGCTTTTCAGTGCTGACCTACGGCTCCACGGTGGCCGGGAAGAGCCCCCTGGTGTGGTGTGCAGTCCAGTGCTCTGTCCCACCAACTCGCAGGTCCGACGGGGGTGGGTGACACCTTATCCTACAGAACCAGATGGAGCTTCCACGCTGAGGACAGTACACGCGGCCACCCCTCTCTGGCAAGCTGCAGCATCCCTAGGTGCAGGTTGGGGTGGGGCTGGCATGGTGGCCTCCCCTGGCCAGATGCTCCTGTCCCCATCTCCACCTCCAGCCCTACTGGAGTTCCCTCTGACCTGGTCTGTCCTACGGCCGAGCGGGGCTAAGGCGATCACAGCGCTCCCCACACACATCCTCAGGTCTTGGATCTTAGGAGAACGGAACCCGTGTGCATGTGGAGCACCCACCCTGTCCCCGGGAGGGCTGTGGTGGAGGAGCCACGGAGGCGCGGGGTCCCGCTCACTGGCAGCACTCGGCCACGTGCCTGAGGAGCTCTTCGCCTTGCTCGTCGCCAAAGCACCGCAGGCAGTGAGGGCACTGGAGATCTCCCTGGCCTCTCTGGGCTGTGCTGGGGCACTCTCCGTCTGCAAAGGCTTCTGGCCACTGGGGTCCAGGCCCAGGCCTCCGGCCGCTGGGCACCACGAGCTCCAGTGCATCAGTCTCTAAGTACTTGGAAGTTTTGCTCCCAGTATGGATCCGGCAGGGGCCTGGCTCTCGGGAGTCCTGGAGGGAAGGCAAAGGTCTGCTTACACAGGCTGCGCTGAAGGCCGGGACACCAGCTCTCGGGTCCTTGCAACCAGAGATAACTCACTACCCGAGTGCAACCTAAGTCCCTCGCCTGACTTCCTGCTTGGCCCCAGAGCCCGGACAAGGAGGTGCTCAGTGAGCAGTTAAAGACCGCATATACGCCCCGTCATGTGCTCATGGAGGAACAAGACTGAGCGCGGCCCACTCCACCCGCACAGCGGAAGGCCTGAGGGGACCCAACTGGTGACTTCACCACCCATCACCACCAGGCCAGGGGTGCTGGGCAGAGCTCAGGGTAGGAACCTGGGCGAACTCAGTCCTAACCCCACTCTGTTCCTCCTCTGTGGGACTTGGGACGCTGAGTGCTCTGGGCCTCAGGGGTCCTCTTGTAGCACTAGGCCGGAACTCCTGGCTCGGCTTCATTGACCACTCAGCACAACCTGGCATGGCCTGGCACACGCTCCAAAAGCCACCATGGCAGTGCCATCGCTACTTGCCTGGGAATGTGGAGTTTCCACTTTGCAATCGAATTTGGACTTTCCTTGGTGGAACTACAGCTTATTGCCTATGCTTTCTGCCCTTGGGGCCAGGAAGGACTCCCCTGGAGAATCTGGGTCTGCAGGCCTGTAACTTGTTACGGTCGGTCACTCCTCTGGCCTTACTGAGAGGTGGCCTGAGACCATCCTGTGTTTGCACCACTAGTAACCCTCAAGGCATAGCACGTGCTTCCGTGCATTCAGGGCGTCTAGAAAACCCAGAGACAAAACTAAATCTCGGGGTCGGTGGGTGGCATGGTGGTTAAGAGCGCTGGACTCCCACGTGGCCGACCGTGGTTCAAGTCTCAGACCCAGCGGCTTGCTTTCTCACTTTCCCTCTCTGTCTCTCTCTGGTCAAAATTAAATAAATAAAGTTCAATAAAATAAGTCTTTAAAAAATATCTCAGGAAAACTCACAGGCAAATATAAAGCTCTTCCCTGGATGTTGGACGATGCTCCCACTCCTACCTAGGAGACAGGTGGGAGGATCCCAATCTTTGGCCTGCAGTCCCAAGGCCTTAAGAGAACCAGGAATTGGGGGTTGCGAGGAGAGCTACCCCTACACATAGTCCATCCTGTGCTTCTAAGAAACCTGCTAGGCTGGGCAGGAGCCACCAGTGAGGCCAGCAGCCACGCAGGACAAGACCATGCAGACAGCCCTCGTGCCCCTGGGCCCCTACTCAACGACATGAAGGGCAGCCCCCAGGTCAGTGTGACATCCCTGCTCCAGCCCTGGGTACACAAGCACCACTACTCTCCAGTCTGGAACAAGACAGGAAGTCGTTTGAAGGAGGGCCAGAGGTTTATCCCAGGGCCAAACGTGTAAAGGTACTTGCAAAGTGACTAAAGAAACAAGGTACTTCTGGGCTTTTTACAGAGCAGGCGTCTCTCCAGAGAGGAGAGGGAAGGAGGCATATGGAGATACAGATCACGTGGTGAGATCTCTGTCAGTCCCCCATGGCAAGGACAGCACTAAGGCCAGAGTACAGTGCAGGGCCCACTGTCCTGCCAGGCCCTGCTCCACATGCAGTGGCTGCGCTGTGACAGCTACCCTGTCACACAGCTGTAATACCTAGGTCCTCTGTTACACCTATGTGACAGAGTGACTGCGGTCCTTGCCTCACAGGAGGGGCAGGACAGGCAGAAGCTCCCAGGAGGAGAGACGCTCTCCGGTTCCATGGCAGCAACTCGCAGGGAGGCAGGACAGGCCCTGAGGTCAGCCACCTCTGCCCGCACAGGCGGCTGTCCCAACCTCCTCCTCAACAAAACACTATCAACGGGGAGGCTTTCCACACCCGTGCTCCAGGCACTGGGCAAGAGGGCTCAGCCCAGAGCTGGAGAGGACCCCTCACGTCCTTCACCCCAGCAAAGCAGGCCTTAGAAACTTGGGTGAAAGGAGACGTGCTCTTAGACTCACCTGTCTCCGGGACACCTGGTGTAGCAAGGAGGCGACCTTCTCCTCTAGTTCTTGAATCCTACTCTGTGCCCGTTCCCGATCTGCCCTTTCTGAAGTGAAGTCATCCTTGTAAGCGAGAATCTGAAAAGAGAAAGGGCCCATCGCTGTCCAAGGGAGGAGAACGTGCCAGGCGAGCTTCTCACCCGGCCCACCTGGACCCAGCCAGCCGAGCGCCGAGGCCACGGCCCCTGCTGACAGGAAGCCACGCAGTCGGTGCTGCCCAGAGCCGGAGGGAGGGCTACCTGCTGCTCCAGCACCTGCACCCGCTCCAGCGCAGCGTCCCGCGCCGTCCTCGCTTCTGCCAGCTCCTGCGCCACTCCTGCACAGTCGTTCATCTTCTCCTCCAGTTGTCGGTTGAGCCGGGAGATCTCCTTCCTCATGGCCTCAGGCTCATGGAGGGCCTGCAGCCCCCTCAGCTGCGTGTGGAGCCCCCTCACGTACTCGTCCCTGCTAGCGTCGTAGCGCTGCCACTTGGCGTTGAGGTCTTCCACCTGAGGAGGTGGAGCCGGAAAGCTCACGGCAAAGGGGGCCGAGACAGCTCAAGCCAACACCCACTCTGAAGCTGTTTATTAGCAATAATTCACGGAGCAAGGGTTTCCTCTTAAAAGGGAGCTGCCTCCCTCTGTCCTATGCGGAGGAGACACTGAGCCCACCAGAGAATCCTGAGACACCACGATGACACCCAAAAGCAGCGATCTCAAACAGAAGGGAACTCAGTGTAATTTTCCTGCCTTAAAATCTATACTTCCTGATAACAACTCTTGTACTTCCTTTATGGATTTGTGAATTAATTTTGGGGGGATGGAGGATATAGGGCATGTCCTATACATCCTCTGAGGCAAAAACGTCAAGTCTCTGATGACTGAATGTGTCAAGCCAAAGCAACGGGTGGGAGCAACCTCTGGGCAAACTTGTAGTTGGTAAGGGTGAATATTCTTCCTGAACGAAATGTTAGACACTCACGTGCGTCACCTTCTGCTTTAACAGCTGATTTTCTTCCTGTAACTTCTCAATCACAGCCTGGACAGAGGTGTCTCCGCCTGTACACACTGGCTACACAAGGAGGGACAGAGAGAAGATGATGTGTCACTGCACATGCCAGTCACGTACAGCAGGAGGGAAGACACCCTGGAGGCTGAGGCCGAGACCACTGCATCGTGCCTCCACAGCAGGGGACTGTTCATCCGGCAGAAAAGCAAAGCAGGGACAGAAAAGGCTTCCCGCAGTGGTGAGAGAAGGGCCCCTCTCCGTGCCCAGGCCCACCCCAACCGGGGCTGAGCCACAGTCTGGGCACATCATTCTTTTTTTTTTAAAGAATTATTTTACTGAGGACCAGCAGGTGGCGTGGTGGTTAAGGCAGTGGACACTCCCACATGGCTGACCACAGTTCAAGTCCCGGACCTGGTGGCTTGTTCACTTTCCCTCTCTCTCTGTGTGTCTCTCTGGTCAAATTAAAATGAATGAGTGAATGAATAAAATAAAATAATAATTCTGTAAAAAAAAGAATTATTTTATTTAACTTTATTTATCCATGTATTTATTTTAATTTGGCCAGAGAGGGATAGCGCAAGGGTGAGAGATAGGGAAAAAAAAAAGGGAAAGAGAAAACAAGTCTCTAGGTCCAGGACTTGAACCATGGTCATCCATGTGGGAATACAACACCCTTAACCACCATGCTACCTGTTGGCCCCTGGGCACATCATTCTTGACACTGTCCTTACTCCATCCTACTTACCAGTTTGAGTAGTTTGTCTCATAAATATTTTGGATTTAAACCTTCTAAAGTCTAAAGGGATTAGTACACCAAAGGTCATAAAGCTGTCTCATCACCCGAGATTGGCCACCGTCACAGGCATAGGGAAGGCAGGAAGCTTAATCCTGTTGGACTCCAGAGAACCCCCAGTCAGGGGCCTCCCATCTGCCTGGGTGGGCCCAACCACGGGCCCAACTTCTCTCCTTTGGAGCCCACAACACTGTCCTGTTGCAGACAACTGCTTCAACTATGGCGACTCCAAATATGACAGACTAACTTGTGCCTCAGGCAGGGCCAGGGTTCACAGAGCCACATCCCAAACCAACCCCTAACAGCAGCTGGCAGACTGGACTGAAAAATCTCACGAAACATCCATGTGTACCCTAGAAATTCCATGCTTTAAACAGTGCAGGAAACCGTGTATCAGTGGCATTACTTCTGAGAATTCCCCTCAAATGACAAAGGAAGTGCGTGTCGTAAACCAGCCTGCACTGGGAAGCCCCGGGTGACTCAGCCAAGGCCAGGGCTGAGAAGTAACGCTGATTTAGTGACTGTGATGAGGCGCCGCCCCACCCCCAGTTCAGGCTGACCACTGTGTGAGGCCACTTTCAAATCCCCAGAGGAAAACGACAGTGACTCAAAAGCAAATAGAACACCCCACCTCTTCCCAGACAGCTTTTTTCTTTTGATTTCTGCAACAGTGTGTGTTCTTTCTAAGGTTCCCTTTTTGTGGAATCCACCCAACTGAGATGGTGGTTCTCAGACCACATTTCTTCCTGACGGCCACTGCAGCGAGGGGCCAGTGGGAGCAGGATGGCTCGGCCGCCCCAGAACATCTCAGGACACGTGCTTCTGTGTGAACCTTGCCGCTGCCTCAGAGACCTGCTCGGGAAGACCTTGGTGAGGGCCTTGTGCCCAGCACTGTGGGGCAACATGGCCTCAGTCTGGCCCACTGCATAACCTGGTGAGGTGTACACTGTGTGCCCATCTCCCGGTGTGCCCACATGGATCCCCACGACCCTCCCATGGGCGGGAGGGTGCAGTGAACAGTGCTGGCCCGCGGTGGCTGCCCTGGGGCCCCAGGTATGCCCCAGTTCCTCCCACACCTTGAATGACTGTGGATGCTGAAACCCTCACCGTACCACTTTCCCCCAGCAACCCCCTCACCCATCCACAAGCCAGGTTTGGCCTGTCCTGGAGGCCCAGAGGGCTTGTCCTGGACCCCTACTCTTCCCTGGCCCCTGCACTGCTCTCTGCCTGTTGGCCCTACCCTGTGCAGCTCCAGCTGGGGGCACAGCGGTAAGACAGAGTGCCCCTGTGTCCTTGCTTTGATGACAAAGAGGCTGCAGCCTGAGCACAACCAGGTTTCCCAGCGTGTGGCAGGCCATGCTGCCAGTGCGGACGGGCCCCAAAGCCAGCTTCGGAGACGGCAGTTCTGACTCTGCGTGAGGCTGACGTCTGGGCCCCCCCTGATCTACTCAGATGCACTCGTGGTCCTTCTGGTGGTTTTAGGCCTGGGCCTTGCCCAGGTGGCATTTGGAGGCACTGACCCTCCCCAGCAATATCACCCAACTCTGCCTCAGTTTCCTCCTCTGCCCGACATACACAGGACAGCACGTCCTCAGGGCAGCCCTGCCCATCCCCAGCTGAGGCCATCTCTTCCACCAGGGGAAGAGGGAGCTCTAGGCCTGCTGCTGGGGGCCAGTAGGGCAGGCTCCCTCTTTCCTATGGCATTTGAGCTGTCCCATCATTCCAAAAGAAATCCTGGATGGCAGAGTTTGTCCCATCAGCTGATTCTTGTTGGGCTGCAGGGAGCCCCTGGCCTCCATGGTTGCTAAGGGATCCTGGAGGTCTACAGGCAAAGCTTCCCGCTACGATGAGGTCTCGGCCGTGACTCGGCTACGCCATGCCTACCTCGTCATCAGGACTTTTCTCCCTCACGCCCCGCTGTGAGTGCTGTTGTTTATCCAGACACTTGGCCAGGTGCTGGCACATGTGGGCAGTGGCAGCCAGCGTCCTCCGCAGCTGGTGGGTCTCGCCTGCCAAGGAGCGGCAGAGGACGTTGCTGGCGGGCCGGGGCCGCCCCCTCTTCCCCCCCCCCCCCCC